CGGCGACGTAAAACCTCTGTAAAAACCTTATAAGCAGGCCCAATAAAGCCCACTATTTTTTGACAGCCCAGTATTAGTAATATGGTAATGAAATGACGAAAGTACCCCGCGAGCTGAAGAGTCTTGCGTTATATCTCTCTCGGACTTGTGTGTTTGGCAAAGTTCGTCTTCTCTGCAGCTTCTCCTCTTTAGAGAAATTAGGGTTCCGTCGCAAATCACGATCAGATCTCATCTTCGCCGATTTCTCTGGTATGATTTTTTCGTTTTTTATACTTTGTTTATACTGATTTAAAGATCGTTTGTATGCCTCATCATCTTCGTGTACCGATTTATGATTGGAATTTTCTAGGGTTTACTCGAACTTCGCTCAATTACAATTTCGCAAATATGTTGTTCGCTAGTAGCTATTGTTTGGATCAGCTTCATGGATACAAGTCTTAAGCTAGCAGCCGTGTGAATAAGTTCAGATTTGGTTTACGATGTTGATATGAATCGTTGTCTTCAGAATCTTCTGTCTTAAGTTGATCTCGTTAGCTCTTGTAAAGGAGCTTCGGAGGATGCGCTTATTGGGATTATCTCGGAATCTTGTTTGTTTATATATTCTTTTTCGAAACACAATTTGGCAGTGTGTTCTAGAAAATGTCTGAAGAGGTCGAGTACCGCTGCTTCATTGGTGGGCTTGCTTGGTCAACGTCTGATCGTGGTCTCAGGGATGCTTTTGAGAAGTACGGTCACCTCCTTGAGGCAAAGGTATAATCTTCGCTCTTGTTACGTGGCTATTTACTCTCTGGTTGCTGAGATGTTGAAGCTTTGATGTGTTTAGTAATTTGTTCATCTTTGCTAATCTGTTTATGTCGTCATCCGCATTATCCGCTTTGATGTTGAAGCTTTATTGTTGATACAGGTGGTTCTTGACAAGTTTTCTGGCCGTTCCCGTGGTTTTGGGTTCATCACTTTTGATGAGAAAAAGGCTATGGATGAAGCTATTGCAGCAATGAATGGAATGGATTTGGATGGGCGGACTATCACTGTTGATAAAGCCCAGCCACATCAGGGTGGGTCAGGCAGA